TAAAATATATATTCACTCCTATTATTGAGACACGATTTGCAAACGAAATCAAAAATTTAAATGCACACAAAAATGTGTGGCTTTTAAGCATAAAATTATATGTTTTTTATACTCAATTAAATCATTTGGTTATTTTGGAGGACATAAATACCAGAGTGCTTATGGTTTCTGAGGGGTTGGAAACCCCCTCCCATTCCGGGGGAGAGTTATGGGTATATATTGTATGTGTTATCCATTTTCACTTGACTTTTCACTTGATTCCCATCAAACCCATCAACAGATACTTTTTGCTTATGAAATGTTTGTATACTTTATATCTATCTGTGATATTAAGTCTACTTCTCGAGCGTAATATACAATAAAAAATATGCCATTTCTTCCACTATTTGATCCCAGAATTCATGTATATTTTATTTATGTGTTTCGCTTTTGTTAGTTGTTTTCTAGACTTATTTTTTGGTGCTTTCGTTTCTGGAGATATTTTTATATCATATACGACTTGTATATGACTTGTGTTATGTTTCTCTCAACCAATTATTTATGTCTCATCTCTTGTTTTAAGTGTACATTTCATTCCTCAACACAAATGGATATTAAAATTCATTTTCTTCGTAAATGTCTTTTTCAGAAGAGTCGTAATGAGTGAACGGCCCCTAAAAACACAGCCCAACAACACATGTGACTAAAGCATGACTTTTGCAATGGATTTGTAAATAAATATCAAAACAAAATACTAAACAATGCCTTAAATTGTGACTAAATTTTTAATTAATGCAAACTATTTATAAGATTTATTTAATTAAACGCATAATTAATATAATAACCGACAAAATAGTTATAAAATTTAATTATTAAAAATGATTTTAAAGACAATAAAAGTGTTGAGAAATAATTGGAAAAAATCCGTGTTTTTCAGTTGTGTTGCCGTTTATGGCGTTAATTACGGATACAATAAACTGATGTACGGTTTCTATGAACTAATCATTATTATTAACCACTAATTTAATACATTTATGGCTATTGTTTACCCCTATATATAGTGAACACAACAAAATGAGGGCCTATTGCGAGGAGGCGTTGGTATGTCGTTATAACCATGTTTTATATATTTGTATTCACCTAGATTTATTAATTATTATAATTAACCACTCGTTATAGTGTACATATGCATAATATGTAGTTTAGATGATTTAGTACACTAAACAGAACATGCTAGTTTATTTAACATACATGTAAACATTGCCTGTTAATTTAATAAAAATATCAACATGATAGTTTAGTAATTAACTAGCCTAACCGTAATAATAAATAGCATAATTGATTTTACCCCCGATATGTGTCCAGAGGTTTGGCAACCAATACATACGGCCCGACCAGAACTGCCGACACTTAACAGTAATACTGAATCCAATGGCAAATAAGCGGAAGAGTAAACAAAACTACGATAAATATTGTGCACCACTTCTGCATTTGGCGGGCATTCGGGTCAGTGTTGTGGTGACCGAAGAGGAGGGTCAGGCGCGCGACCTCATGGAGATCATGGACAACACGGACGCCGTGTTGATCGCAGGCGGCAACGGCACAGTTCACGAAGTGGTGACCGGTCTGTTGCGGCGCACAGACGGCCGCCCGGGTGTCCATCAGTACCCGATCGGTATACTGCCGGTCGGCCGACGCAATACCATCGCTGTCAACGTGAATGGTGTCCGCGACAAACACCTCAAGCCTTACGAGTGAGTGTTTTTTGTGTTTGTTTTGTGATTTCTTGTGGTAAATATGAGTGGTTTGTATTGTCTCTCTCTCTTTCGCGAAGATTGTTAGCCGAGTGCACCCTCTCTGCCATCCGTGAAGTGTTAAAACCGGTGGATGTGATGAGAATTGAGGGCACAAAAGGCCGGCCGGTGTTCGCGTTGGAAGAGTTCAACTGCGGCCGACTTCGGGACACACTGTCTGTGGCCGACGGGTACTGGTATTTGGGCGCTTATCTCAAGCCATATCTGGCTTTCGCTTTCAATACGCTTAGAGTGAGTCTTATTTTATGTGATTTTAATAGTTTTTTTTGTGAATTATTTTAATTTAGTTTTTGTATGTTTTTTGTTTTGTCGTAATTAACTCTCGTTTCGTAGTTTTTTAGTTTTGTTAATTACAGTGAAAAAAGTAATTATAAATTAATTTTCAGCTCTAATTGTTCATTAGATTCATTAGTAAAAAAAGGGTTTTTCATAATTTGAAAATTTATTTTAATTGAAATAACAAAAAAGTATAAAATAATTAGACATTTAAAGAGAGACAACGAGTTTTAAAGTATTTTATGATTAATGATACAAATGATTGATAATTGCAATGAAGTGTTAAATCAAATACAGAGACTGACGGCAGTGGAAGGGGTGAGCATATCGTACAGCAATCCCTGTGACGGATGCTCTAAATGCTACCAACGCTACGAACGTGAGGCCCCGGGGGGTGTTGGGCTGGCGGAGGGGCCGACCCGTTGGTGGCACGTATTTATGCCACGAAAGGGCGCCGACACTCGCGGCCCGACTCAACCGAAACGTGATTTAAAGGCTATCCATAACTCGGAGTGCGGCCAGTGGTCAACGCTGGCCGAGACGGGCGCCGACAACGTCCTCATCCAGAATACCAATGAATCCAAACTGAAACTCATTATTCACAGCCAGCCCTCAGCGCACCGGCAATTCATAAACGATGGGTGCGTTTAATCTCAATGCGTTTTTAACCCTATGTTGTTTTGTCATTAGAAACATTAGTTTGAATTGGATTTTTGTCAAATGCTTTTTAATGTGTTTTTAAAAATCATTTTCTCAAATCTTATCTTAAAAGAGCGTATAATATGTGAGAAATTATTTAGTTTTTTTTCTCTGAAATTAATTTTGATTATCAATTGATATGATTATTACGATTTCTAAGCGATAATAAATGTGTTATTTTTTGGTTTTATCGTCACCTGATTTCCCCATCGCTTTAGCGTTAAGTTATTCAATAGCGAGCCGTTGGCTGTGGAGGGGATGAGTCCCTGCGTACAACTGATCGAAGCGATGGATATTAATATAGATTTGGCCGAAGATAAGAGTGGCGGCAACGATGGCAACGACGACCAGACAGTTGTCGATCAAACGATGGATCAAACAGTGGATGCGGAGGCAGTAGAAGTCGTCGGCGGCGACGCCACCAGTGATGGCGATAAGATCGAAGCCGTAGATAATTCGGCCACTAATTCATGGTTTAGTATCGATACTGAAAGTTATGAGAGACAGTCCGTTAAGATTACGCTAATGCCTAAAGTGTTGAATATGTACGCGCTGTAAGTGATGGCCCCATACATGCCATCCATACCACTCTGGCTTCACTACCTTTCCTCCGGTTATGATAATAATAATGTGTTTATAATAATAAATGAATGCAAAAAACGATGTAATAATAAAATGGTTTTTTGTTTCTCTCGAAACGAGTTTTTCTCTCTCTTTTTCTTTCGAGAGTTAGTGTTTTCTCTACAGATTTTACGCTCAAAAACTCATTTTGTAATAAATTAGTTATTATTTAATATTTAATACAATAAGTAAAATATTATGTAAACTCTCTGTTCGTATACACAGCTATGCATTTGTGTTGTAATATAATAATAATTTTCTATTATATCGTAAAAATATTGTCTTATTTTATTAATAAATTTTGTTTTCGTCTGAAGTTTAGTTTTAAAGATTCTCTCTCTCTCTCTCTCTCTCTCTTTTCCTCAAATAACTCGTTGCGAACCTAAATATATATCTTATTATATAATTATTGTCTAAACTAAACCAAATATAAGCCCACAATTTAATCTGAAAGAAAAAATATTTTTACGATTTATTGAATATATATAACAAACTTTATATAAGAGCCGAAAAAATAGTAATAATTTATTGGATTGAATCACGAATATAGAGGAGAAGTTGTTTTCGGTTCGTATTTATGTGTTTTAATTTTAAAAGTTATATATTTATCTATAAGTGATTTGTGGATATGAGGCACAGGTAGGTTTGGGCGCCGGTTACTCAATACAAATGGTTAAATCGTACACACATTAGGACATTCATTATAAATAATAATGCATTATGGCTATTTATATACAATTTACGTGTAACATTACATAGGTCTCCATGCACCTTTTTGAGGTTAATCAATGTATTTAATAAACATATATAAAATCATATCAAAAAACTATATCATCAATTTACTATATCATGATTTTGGGCCATAATTTTTAATTTTTACTTAATATCCAATTATTTTCTCCGATAACATACATAATGATAATTTTTGTTATGTTTGATTATTTTGTAGATTTTTATTCACTATTCAAACAAATGAATATAATATACATTTTACGAGATATTCCGCTCAATAATAAGCGAAATTAAAGTTAATAAGTTTGTTATCTAAATAAAAACAAATTTAATTTTATTATTTACTAAGAGTTTCCGTCTATTTAAATAATTATAATAATATTATTATACAAAGTATTAAATAAAAATGTGTTACGAAATGAAGAAAAGAGTTTAATTATTGTAGAGATTAAGTGACTTTTCGAGAGGAAAAATGGGATAATATTAATATTAAAATTAATTAATTTCCATCTAATTATCAAAAACTACATGAGAGAGAGAGAGAGAGAGAGAGAGAGAGAGAGAGAGATTGTTATTAAATTTTTAAGATTAAATTCAATTAAATTTTATGATAAATATATTAAAACACGGTAAAAAAAGTTGATTAAAATTGACATATAATAGCTTGTAATAAATCATATTTCCGCATAGATATGGCATATAATTAATAATTATAACCCAAACAGATAATAGGATTATAATTTATGCCCATGTTGCAATAATCTATGATTTAATAAGATATGAATTGATAATAAATAATTCAAACATTATTTGACAAACAGCACAAAAACAGCAAAAAGTTGTGAACAAACATTTTGTATGAGTCGTAATGAGTGAACGGCCCCTAAAAACACAGCCCAACAACACATGTGACTAAAGCATGACTTTTGCAATGGATTTGTAAATAAATATCAAAACAAAATACTAAACAATGCCTTAAATTGTGAC